ATTGCTGCTATGTATGGATCTCAGGGCAAAGCTTCATTCTGTGATGGATTTCGAAATGGAAAATTCAATATGAGTTCCAACAACACCTCTGTGTTTCTTAAAATCACACAAGTGGATTTATCTGATGTCGGGCTGTATTTCTGTGGATTTTACGTGAATAAGCATACTGTCATTTCCAATGCGGTCGAGTTAAGAATTCAAGGTAAGGTTGTATGGAGGACTTTTGTCTTCCAGGTTAGTTTTATGTTCATACGTAATCCAAAATCAGCTCAGAGACAAAAAGGAAATCACAAAATATTATAATGGCCATGTTTCTTTACAGGCGGTGAAACCAATGAAGGAGAGGGTTTTAAGACGGAAAGTAAAATTATTTTATGGCTTCTAAAATTTTGCTGTTCAATGTGCTAAAAGTTAATATCAATATTATGTTTCAATCAATCCAACTAAAGTGGACTGATGGGTTTTTGTTTGTATTTGTTTTTTGCAGAAGAGTCTGACAGAATGACACACCTGCTAAGCACTATCCTGGGTAGTCTGGCTGGTTTACTCACGATAGTGGTTATTATTCTGGTTTTTAAAATCTGGAAACTTCAAAAAGGTACACATGGCTTTAATTTGTTTCACTTCTTTTTGGCAGGTAAATCTTGTACCTTCTCTTGTACGCTGGTAATAATGAACTAATGACACTTTTGTATTTGGTATTTAGTGGCAGAACAAGAACCAAAAAGCAACAAGGTAAATGTTTATTTGTTTTTTGTTGTTCCTGTTGTTTTCTTTTTCCTTAGAATGCGCAACCAATATGTCATGATATATTAATGTTGGAAAGAGAAGTGTCTAAGAGTTTGTTAAGGTCATTGTAACTGTAGAATTAATAATGTATACTTTATTGATCCCCATGTGGAAATTGCTTGTTTTTCTCTGCATTTGACCCATACACTCAGTGAAGCAGAGGGCAGCCACTAAGCAGGCGCCCGGGGAGCAGTGTGTAGGGACGGTACCTTGCTCAAGGGTATCTCAGGGTAGCTGTTCAGTGGATTTGAACCCCCGACCTCCCAATTGTAGGGCAACCACTCTACCTACTGAGCTATCCCTGCTCAGTAGTTTCCTTCTTCTGAAGATCTTTGTTTTCTTCTCTGAAAATGTTTTTTTTAAAAGACATCTTTACCTACATAGCCGCATTAGTTCCAATTTCTGGCCTATGTTACTGAAGCTAAACTCTTTTTTTACTGTATAATCTAATTGAATTGTGTTTAACACTGGACAGCACAGGTGTTCTTCCAGTATGATGTTTTAGTATTAAACTCTAAAAATCACATTTTATGTAAAATCATTTTTGGTTTAACCCACATATCAGCAAATACGTGATATATACGTAGCAAACTCAGCTGTGTAAATATTCTGGTTTTCAGAATGTGAGCTCAGACGATCTGAACTACGCAGCTCTCAACTTCCAGAAAAACGTCCAAAGAAACCGGAGGCCTGTGACACAGAGAGAGCTGGAGCCACATGTTGTGTACGCTGCCACCAGATAGACTCGTGCTTTGTGATAACCTGCAGATAAGGTTTTGTTTTGTGGAGGATATGGCAAAAAATAAAACAAATAAAATTTGCATTCAAGTTGTGTTTGTATCTTTACTTTTGTGTCATTGTCTTTTTTATTTGTCCACCTTTTGTTGGAGAGGAAAAACACTACTCTTAAAGTATGTTGATGAGGGAGAAGTCAATGGTCTTACACCGATTGTGAAACTTTCTTTTGGGGAGAGTCTAATGCTCTGTTGTGGGAGAGTAGAAATACATTTTAACAGGAAGAGACAGCACTGTGTGGTCTGAGCCCAACTGAGGTTAAAATCACAAGGTTTCCAAGCCCTTCAGG